CATGTCCCCATGTCCCCATGTCCCTCCATGTCCCCATGTCCCCCCATGTCCCCATGTCCCCATGTCCCTCCATGTCCCCATGTCCCTCCATGTCCCTCCATGTCCCCCCATGTCCCCATGTCCCCATGTCCCTCCATGTCCCCATGTCCCTCCATGTCCCCCCATGTCCCTCCATGTCCCTCCATGTCCCCATGTCCCCATGTCCCTCCATGTCCCCATGTCCCTCCATGTCCCTCCATGTCCCCCACATGTGCCACCTCTCCCCATTCCCATCCCCTGGGACACACAGGGGACACAGGGGACACTTGTGGACATACAGGGGACACAGGGGACACTTGGGGACACACGAGGATTCAGCAAGAGGTGACACTTGGTGACATTTGAGGATACTTGTGGACCCCTGGGGGCACACAGAGGACACACGGGTGATACAGGTGACACAGCTGACACCTGGGGACACCTGGGGACACACAGGTGACACTTGGGGACACCTGGGGACACTCAGGTAACACCTGGGGACACCTGGGGACACGCAGGGACACAGGGGGCACACAGGTGACATTTGGGGACACCTGGGGACGCACAGGGACACACAGGTTACACCTGGGGACACACAGGGAGAACACAGGTGACACTTGGGGACACACAGGTTACACCTGGGGACACACAGGGAGAACACAGGTGACACTTGGGGACACACAGGTTACACCTGGGGACACACAGGGAGAACACAGGTGACACTTGGGGACACTCAGGGAGAACACAGGTGACACTTGGGGACACCTGGGGACACACAGGGTTATACAGGGGACACTTGGTGACACTTGGTGACACCTGAAGACACCTGGGGACACCTGGGAACCCCTGGGGACACACAGGAGCACACAGGTGACACTTGGGGACAGCTGGGGACACACAGAGACACACAGGTGACACTTGGGGGCACACAGGTGACAGCCAGGTGACAGCTGGGGACAGCTGGGGCCGTACCTGAGCTCGAGGCAGCCCAGCTGCAGGGCCATGCCCTCGCTGACCTTGCTGGCGTAGCTCTGCATGTACTCGCTGCGCACCTGGGGACACCGGCGACACTCAGGGGACACCCAGGGGACACCCTGGGGACACTCAGGGGACATCGGGGACACCCCAGGGACATTCAGGGGACATCGGGGACACCCCGGGGACACCCCGGGGACACTCAGGGGACATCAGGGACACCCCAGGGACACTCAGGGGACACCAGGGGGACACCAGGGACAGCGCTGTGACCACCCAGGGGACACCCCAGGGATACTCAGGGGACACCCAGGGGACACCCCGGGGACATCGGGGACACCCCGGGGACACCAGGGACAGCACTGTCACCACCCAGGGGACATCGGGGACACTCAGGGGACATCGGGGACACCCCGGGGACACTCAGGGGACACCCCGGGGACACCCTGGGGACACTCAGGGGACATCGGGGACACCCCGGGGACACTCAGGGGACACCCTGGGGACACCGAGGCAACCCCCAGGGGTGGTGACAGGGGACAATGACAATGACAGGGACACTCCCCATAAACCACCCCAGGGCCACAAAACCCGGGAATCCCAGGAGATCCAGGATCTGGATCCGTTCTCCACTGCCACAAAACCCGGGAATCCTGGGAAATCCAGGATCTGGATCCACTCCTGGGAATCCCGGGAGATCCAGGATCTGGATCCACTCCTGGGAATCCTGGGAATTCCAGGATCTGGATCCACTCCTGGGAAATCCAGGATCTGGATCCACTCCTGGGAAATCCTGGGAATTCCAGGATCTGGATCCACTCCTGGGAATCCCAGGAAATCCAGGATCTGGATCCACTCCTGGGAATCCCAGGAGATTCAGGATCTGAATCTGCTCCCCAGCGCCACAGAACCCGGGAATCCCAGGAGATCCAGAATCCGGATCCGCTCCTGGGAATCCCAAGAGATTCAGGATCTGGATCCGTTCTCCATTGCCACAAAACCTGGGAATTCCTGGGAAATCCAGGATCTGGATGCACTGCCCAGGGCCACAAAACCTGGGAATTCCTGGGAAATCCAGGATCTGGATGCACTGCCCAGGGCCACAAAACCTGGGAATCCCAGGAGATCCAGGATCCAGATCCACTCCCCAGGGCCACAAAACCCGGGAATCCCAGGAAATCCAGGATCCGGATCCACTCCCTACCGCCTCCCCAGAACCACAAACCCCAGGAATCCCAGGAATCCTGGGAGATCCAGGATCCGGATCCTCTCCCCAGAACCACAAACCCCAGGAATCCCGGGAATCCTGGGAGATCCAGGATCCGGATCCTCTCCCCAGAGCCACAAACCCCAGGAATCCCAGGAATCCCAGGAATCCCGGGAATCCCAGGAATCTACCTGCTGGTAGAAGTAGAGCAGCGTGGTCCTGTCCTCCTGGAAGCGCTCCATGAAATCCTCGGGCAGGTACCGGATCTGGAGGTCGTACCTGGAGGGGGCCAAGGAAAAAAACCCGGGAGCCGCTCCCTCGGGAGCCCATCCCGCTTTTCCCGGGAATTCCGGGAGAGGCGGAGCGGCGTTCCCACCTCCACTCGGCTTCCAGGTGGAGGCACTCGTATTTTTCCTGGACTTCTCCCACGGTCAGGTGGGGATGGAGCCAGTGGATCTCGTCCGACTTGACGTGCTTCAGCCTCAGGCCGTAGCAGGCGGCCAGCCGGATGTCCGGCCCGATCCGGCCGCTCTGCAGGATGGAGCGGATCACCTCCTGGGAAAACGGGAATGACGGGAAATGACGGGAAATGATGGGGAATGGGAATGGGGAATGGGGAATGGGAAATGGGAAATGGGGAATGGTTTGGGTGGGATTCATGGAGATCCAATCCCGGCCCGATCCGGCCACTCTGTAGGATGGAGCGGATCAACTCCTGGGAAAACGGGAATGACGGGAAATGACGGGAAATGACGGGAAATGACGGGAAATGACGGGAAATGACGGGAAATGACGGGAATGGGAATGGGGAATGGGAATGGGAATGGGGAATGGGGAATGGGGAATGGGGAATGGGGAATGGGAATGGGGAATGGGAAATGGGAAATGGTTCGGGTGGGATTCATGGAGATCCAATCCCGGCCCAATCGGGCTGCTCTGCAGGATGGAGCGGATCACCTCCTGGGAAAACGGGAATGACGGGAAATGACGGGAAATGATGGGAATGGGAATGGGGAATGGGGAATGGGAATGGGAATGGGGAATGGGGAATGGGAATGGGGAATGGGGAATGGGAAATGGGAAATGGTTCGGGTGGGATTCGTGGAGATCCAATCCCGGCCCGATCCGGCCGCTCTGCAGGATGGAGCGGATCAACTCTTAGGAAAACGGGAATGACGGGAAATGATGGGAAATGATGGGAAATGGGGAATAATGGAAATGGGGAATGGGGAATGGGAAATGGGGAACGGTTCGGGTGGGATTCGTGGAGATCCAATCCTGGCCCGGCCGGCCAGGGGCGCTCCAGCCTTGCCGTGTGGAGAATCTGGGGTGGCTCTGGTTTAAAATTTTGGAAATTCCTGGCTGGAATTTCACTGGAATTTTGTCCAAACCGTCCTCTTGGTGCAAGGTAGAAGAGCCAGGAGAAGGGTGGGATTCCAGGTTGGAATTCCATTGGAATTTTGTCCAAATATTGATTGGGAAATGAGGAGAATCTGGGGCAGCTCAGGTTTAAAAGTTTGGGAATTCCTGTCTGGAATTCTGTTGGAATTTTGTCCAAACATAAATTGGGAAATGAGGAGAATCTGGGGAAGTTTGGGTTCCAGAGTGGTTCAAGTTTGGGAATTCCTGGGCTGGAATTCCGTTGGATTTTTGTCCAAACCATCCCTGGTGCAGACTCAAGGCAGAAGAGCCAGGAGAAGTGGACAGGGTGGGATTCCAGGCTGGAATTCCATCGGAATTTCATCCAAATGGCCACTGGGAAAGTGATCCCAGGGATTCTCTGGGAATTCCTTCCCGAGCTCCCAGCTCCCCTTTCCCAGTGGGAAGCCATTCCCTGGCTCCTGGCCCTGCGGCCCTTTCCCAAATCCCAGCTCTCCTGGAGCCCCTGGAGCCTCGGGAAGCGGCTCCCAGGATTCCCGGGATCCCTTTTCCCAATCCGGCCACACATTCCCGGCTCTCCTTGGAGGTTTAATCATTAACCCGGGATCCTGGAGCAGCCGGATGTGGAATTCCACATTCCGGAGGCTCCCAGGGGCCCAGAAAAGCCAACCTGGGAAATCCGGGAAATCCTCGGGAATCTCTGGGAAATCCGGGATCCCTCGGGATTCTCCCGGGGTCCCATCCCAGGAATGGGGGATGGTAGCCGGAATTGAGGAATTCTGGGGGGGATTTGGGATTTTCCGGCAGTTTTGGATTTGATCCCGGGAAAAACCACGGAGGGAATTGGTGGGAATGGGGGTGGGGGAGGGGAGGTGGTTCCTGGGATCCTTCCCTGATCCGGCTGCACATTCCCAGCCGGGCTCCAGGTGAGTCCCCACCCCCGAGAGCTCCGGGAGCACATTCCCGATTTCCACACCCCATTCCCCAGCTGGAATCCGCCGGGCTCCGGGCGGAAAGGGCGAGCAGCACATTCCCGAACCAATCCCACCGATATCCACGCGGGAACGGCCCCAAAATCCCTTCCCGGCCTCCTCCCGGCCTCCGCGCCCCCATCCGAGGTCGGGAATCACGGAACCGGGGAACCTCAAAACTCATCCCAACATTCCCGACTTCTCCAGCCAGGCGGGAAACGTGGCTGGAAGGAGCCGGATCCGAACCCAACCACTCCAGAATTCCCAATCCCGCAATTCCCGATCCCGCGTACCCGGATCTCGGTGGCCACCGTGCACTTGACCAGCTTGAAGTTCTTGCCCAGGTTGAAGCTGTTGCTGTAGAAGCAAACCTTGAGGATCCGCGTCTCCTCCTGATCCCGCTGGGAATCCTGGCGGGAATCCCGGGGGGGATCCCGATCCGGCGTCCCCATGGCGTCGGGAATCCCGGAAAGGCGGCGGGAAGAGCTGCTCCGGGGGTCGGGAATGGCGCTGATCCGAGGGAGGGCCGGGGCGTTAGGAGAGGAGCATCCCTTCCCTGCGGGAATGAGGGAGAGACGGGATCGGGATGGAGAATGGGGAAATGGGAATGGGAGAGGGGAAATGGGGAATGGGAATTGGAATGGGGATGGGGAATGGGAATGGGAATGGGGAATGGGGAATGGGAATGGGAATGGGAATGGGGAATGGGAATGGGGAATGGGGAATGAGGAATGGGGAATGGGGAATGGGAACGGGGAATGGGGAATGGGAATGGGGAATGGGGAATGGGGAAACGGGAAAGTGACACCCCCGTGTCATTGTCACCTCTCCAGTGACACCCCCGTGTCATTGTCACCTCCAGTGACACCCCCGTGCCATTGTCACCTCTCCATGGTGATACCCCCATGTCATTGTCACCTCTCCATGGTGACACCCCCGTGCCATTGTCACCTCTCCATGGTGACACCTCTGTGTCATTGTCACCTCCAGTGACACCCCCGTGCCATTGTCACCTCTC